TGGATCGGCAAGTTCCTCGCTCAAAGTCAGTTGAATATGAGAGTCCGCAACACCATTTTCGACCCAATTGACGTCCAGTTTGGCTTGCCTCAAGAATCGGTACTGGGGCCATGTTGATTCCTCAGATTCAGTAACGAGCTTGCCACTATACTCTAGTCGAATTTCTTACTATTTGCAGATGGTGTCAAAATTTGGCATGATATCAGGACATCGGATGATCACATGGCATTACAGAGTGATCTCAACAGGTCTCATGCGTGGTCATCTGACAACCGGCTCCAGTTCAACGTGTTCAAGTGCAAACGCGTAAGCATACGCCATCAGCTCATATATGAATATCGACTTTGGAACCAGCAGTTATAACGTGCTTCCCAAGAAAACGATTTTGGGGTGATTGTACAGGACAACTTCGGTTGCTCAATACAGGCTGAAAAGGCATCAAAATGAGCCAGTCAACATCTTGGACTCTTACGGAGGATGTTTGGCAATTTTGGGCCATCAATCTTTCCGCAAATGCTGAACACATACGTGTGGTCTCACGATGAATATGCGATCCAGGGCTGGCGTCCCTGGCGCATGCGTGACGTAGATGCACTTGAAGCCACACAACGTAGAGCGACCAAACTCGTTAGAGGATTGTTTCATCACTCCTATCAACCCAGACTGCAGTCCCTGAGATTGTACAGTGTTGAATATCAACGTCAGCAAGGAGACCTAATCATTGTTTACTTAATATTGACGAACCCGACTCACCCATGTCGCAATCTGTTGCAGCTGAGCCAAAATACCAAACTGAGAGGTCATCAGCTCAAACTGGCTACGTACTACAGTCGACTTGATTGTCGACGAAACATTTTCTCTCTCCGTATGTACTGTGCCTGGAATGACCTTACGGCTCACGTTATCCTTGCCCCTACGTTAACACTTTTCAAAAAACGCCTTGAGGGAATGCTTTCCAAGTTGCATCACTTGATATAGTCCGTTCCACTTGGAGGACGAAATAACGCAAACCTAACCATGTGTTTAGCTGTGAGGATACATGTAGTGGTGTCCGTCTGATTAGCCTGGATGTAGCTAAACTGGATTAACCTATCACATCTGTCAAATGAAGAAACAAACGAGTGAGCGTTGTCATTTCTTTTTTTAGTTCTCACTCATTTACTGAACTAAAACGCCACTTTATACTATTTTGTGTGTGCACATCCCATTCCCACTTCTAACTATCATTATGCAGTAGTGCATTTAACTCGGTGGATGCTTGAAATAACGTTTTACTTATACGATGATCCTTCAAATTTTAATTTTTACTCCATCTATCCTACGGGGCTTGTCAAGCACATGCTTTTTTACCCGTGATAAATCATTGTTCATTATAAAAGCGAATCTCTAGTTGTCTCCATCTTCAGAGACAAAGTGCCTAATGAACTACGGTCAATGATGATCTACCGGTTCACCTGCTCCTGTGGAGCTAGGTACCTTGGACGCACAATCCGACATAGGAAAGCGAATCAAGGCACACCTACCGAATTCGCTCATCAACCGAAAAGACCGAACTAATTTGAGTGCCCTAACTAACCACCTGATCAGTACAGGATACCACGTTGACAAGCGTAATGCGTCCGAAATTCTATGCAAGATACTATCCCACTTACACCATTAGCTAGCAGCAAGGTAACTAGCTACCGCTGAAGAGGTCAACATAAGATTAACAAGACCAAGTCTCTGCATTCAAAAGAAACTGGTGCACGCGTTGCAACTCCCTTGGTCCAACAGCTACAAGAGAAGAGGCAGGTTTGGCCCAAGAATGTCACGTACCCTCTATCATCTGATTAGCCGACGTACATCATGAGCTTTTTTGACTTTATCTAAGCAATGATTTAATTCTTTAGTGTTCCTACGGATTGGATCTTCTTAAAGTATATTTCTGTACTCGGCATAATGATGAAGAAATAGGACCATTGTTTGCTTTCAGGGTTCCGCATGCTTTCTTCTCGAATCTTGTAACTTTGAAATGAGTCAAGTAACGCTTACAGACATGGGCATTGCAACCCTTGGAATAGCCCTATTCTGACTGACCACTAGAGCTGACTTTTCCACCTGTGTCTGTAAGAACCTCTTGATTCATAGCACACTTGTCACGAATATCTCACCCGCTGTAAAATGCCACACAAACTAGGTACCCATTCACCTGGCCTGACGAAAATTTGTGTCAAAAGCGAAACGTCGCAGACTAAATAAACCAAACGATTGTTCACAAAGCTCTCTCGGAAACCATGACTTCTAAGTGCATTCAAGAAGTTTAAATTTGTGGGGTCTCAATGATGAGTTTGGTGACGCGGAACTCGTCAGACGCTTAGTTCTATATGAGATTTCTGGTACAACGCTCTAGACAATTTCAGCACTGTTTTCAATGTCATAATATTCGTATTCCTTAACTGTGACATGAGAATCTGTCCAAATATCGGCTATTTCTATTCAGCTGTCTACGTTAACAGGCCCGTGAGACCAGATTTTGGTAGGAGCCACGATGTTTTGGAGACACTACTGTGTCTCAGACTATACTGAGAGATTCTATCACCTTGGGGTCACAGATACCTGTTCCCCTAGGCAGCTCTCATTGGCACGGGCAGGAAGTCACAGCCATCTTTGTCTCTACGCACAGTAACCTTGAGTGTCGTAGACTGAAGATTCACCGAGCTGAAAATTATGCACAATACTGATAAAAACATAGGTTTTGAGCCAAACAGAGTATAACTCAGCTGTTCGGCTTAATGAGGGTTCCTATGGAAGCGTTCGGAAATCGTAGGCGGATTAGTAACATCAGGCACAGGACAGAAATTTACAGGTCGCATGCATGCGATGTTGACGTAAAGGTCTCTGGAAAAGTCTGGGCAACTGAACCCGTCATTTGCAGAGAATAATTCACGGAGAATACTCGCGTTGAATTAAATTGGCTATATGAATTTGAAAGGGTGCACTCAGTGAATGCGAAATGCATAGGGAAACTAAAGCGAAGACAAATGAAGAACAGCTGTTAGGCTGAGGACCCTAAGATTGTTCAGTGGCCGATTTCGGCGCCTACGTGGCGACCTGATAATGGCGTACCAGATTTTGAGGTACCCAAACCAAGTATGCCGGCACCTACTGAAACTCAGTCACGACACCAATACTAGGGACCATCAACTTAAATTGGCCACGCAATACGGTAGGCTAGAATGTTGCTAAAATCTTTACTTTCTTCGTGTGTGTTAGCCATGGAATGCCGGAGTGTTCAGCGGACGGTACCGGCGACTTCGTGGAGACCTCATACTAGTGTACCAAATATTGAGCGATCCCAGTCACGTATGCCGCCACCTTTTGAAGCTCAGCCCGAACACTAACTTTCGCGGTGAGAGTTTAAAGCTGAGCCAACAGTACAGTCGTCTAGACTGTCGGAGAACCTATTTCTCCCTCCGGGTCTGCGGGCCCTGGAACGCCCTTCCAAACTCAGTTGTTTGTGCCCCCACATTAGATACGTTTAAAAAACGATTGGACGTCGCACTGAGCGCCCTGCGCTTTGTTTTATGAACGAAAACGCTTGTATATATTTAGGCTGACCAGCCTCTTTGGATTTATACCCCAAATTCACGGTCGTAAATCTGTGCGAACCGGTGAGTACTCCATTTTTATTTGCTACCATCACCAACGATAACAATTTCTTAGCCAGTTTTGCGTCGTACCACTTTATCCCCCTAAAACTGTTATACTTCTACCTTTTATCTCACTGACGCTCCTTACTTCAACCACTTATGTGGTTTGCCAATCTGTTAGTATTTCTATTGCCAACCTGCGGGACTCGTTAAGTGTATGCTTTTTTACCCGTCATATACCATTGTTCCATTGTACGTTGTTTCCGCCCGCACTTTATCTGTGTAAAATGCGCCTTGACGCTGCCTTAACCCACCTACACTTCGAGATATAGCCTGTGTATATCAACAGAGGATGTAGTGTGACGAACGTTGCACAACCATCACTAACCTATACACTTGAGGTCGGCTTCTTTCTTCACGCCTCTGTGTGAACACTGTAATGAGTCAACCAAGACGATTTTAATCTTATCATTGTTTTCGATTCACCATGTTATGGTTCCAATGCTGGCTGCCTTGCGGGACTTGTTAACCATCCGCTTTTTCGCCTTTAATAAACCATTGTTCCATTGATCTATTGCACTCCAACTGAACAACGCGATAAGTCATCTCATGTTCAATGTTTATGGCTGCGCAACACGTCAGTCCAGCTTGTCCTGGACACCAGTGTTTAGTGGAGGTTTTATATCACACTGATTTCGACTTCTGGTTCTTGTAGACTACTGATCGTTGCCAGGGAATTTGAAACTCTCATGAAACAGCCCGTGGCTTAACACAAATTGCGCGTGGTGGTGGCACTGAGCTACGTCGATAACATGGATTCACATACATAAGGGTGATATATGAACCAGATAGCAGTCAGCTACTGTAGTAATTAACTTCCATACCTAGTATATTTGTTTTTACTGGTCTACGCTAGCTATAAGTCTTTCTGACGAAGCTATGGGTGATACAGCGCAACACTATATAGTGTCTCTCTATATACACAGGGATCCCGAGAACACACACCAAACTTGTTCAAAAATGTGCCTTCTGTAATATCCAGAGATTTCTACTGATTATTGATTCAGTACTGCCTAACGGGTTCAAACTGTGTAATTCGTTTTCTCGGGAGCATATGGTTGTAAGATGTGACAGTCTCGATTTGAAAAGAAGGCTGTGATGGATGTTCTGGTGCTACTGCGCAGCCTACTTAGCCTTTCTTGTTTTCTTGCTTTTGAGCTTGGCAGCTACTAAGAACACATCACACTGCATGCCGAGTAGTGGCGACGAACACGGCCTAGCAGCGCCCCAGTTTGATAATACTTCTAAAATACACGTGAGTCAGCTAATTTTACGCCGATGCTCATTATTCTTTTACTTTTTTGTGGGCAGATTCGGAGGCCATACCTGAAGATTGGCGCATCTTCAGTGCGCCAATATCTTGTATACGTGTGTGCAAAATTCCGTCATCCAGAAACAGCCCTTTCATTTTGCAGGACACGGACGATCATGCCTCTCTGCAAAGTGCTGATTCGCTCTATCTGCTTGTTGGACTAATCAACGGAAATTTGATTGTTCGTGACTTATACTCCCGTAAGTCTTGCCCAGAAAGACGTGTTGAATCGATTTTTATACAGTAACGCGATGGAATAGCTCTGCATGTAAATGAGGTTGATATCAGATAACTATGCGCCAGGTGTAGCAAGATTGATTGCTCGCTTTCAACAACAAGCTATCTTTTTAGTTCGAAATTTCCAGATAACAACTATTGGTTGCTTTTCAGGGCTTTATCTGCGCACAGTGAATGTATGCTCTGGAATAATCATCGAGGTGAATGTTTTAAACCCATGCGAACCATCAAGCAAAAACCTTGATATATCGCTCATTCATACATCTGTGAGTCGGCGTTCTCCCCCAGAAGTACTATTTCTGCGATTATCACCCGATCGAACCGACGTATTGAGGTGAGCAATCAGTAGTTTTTTATCGATCATATATCATCTTCGCTTGGTATTGTTTGGTACTTCAGAGTGGCACTTTAATTGCCGTTGCAAGTATAAGGGTTGTTAAGTAAGTTGTTTCGCTACTAATCAGGGCTTAATCCATCAAAATTAATTCTGTACCATTTCCCGGCCAAGTTGTCCTCTTGAGCAAAAGAAATAATCTGAGGGGACATCCGACTTTAGTCTACTCCATTAATTTGTCCCGTGCGTACGCCAGTCACTTGTGCAGGTGTGTAGGTGTGCTTGTATAGCCCGTCGACTTCAGCCAATTGGACCTCAGACGCATTAAGTTAAAGGAGTGCAGGTGGGACGCTTCAGCTCCTACGCACGGAATAAATTAATTGAGTAGACCCATGTTTAATGCCCCCTCAGATTATTTCTGTTGCCCAAGAGGACAGCTTGGCCGGGAAATGGTGTAGTGTACCGGTTATATTTACCTAGATGAATGAGCAAGGGTGACTTTTAAAGTATTGCTTACTTCTTGTTTTCTAACATCAATTTTACTTGCGAGTTTGTTTATAAGTTTGGTTACTAAGTACTTATTTTCAGATTTTGCTTTTTAGCATGCCGAACAAAGAGACCTACCACGCAGTTGCTATGCTACAATTGGATGGATGCCTCAGTGTAAGTCCTACCTTTACTTGATATTCGGTTGCCTTGATTTGACTAGGTTACGTGGTCCAAAGACGGGCAGGTCCACAGGATAGCTGCTGACCGTAATATCGTCGCCCGAATACTATCTGTGTCTAGATGTACACCATTCAAGCAGGAAGCTCTCCAGTACAGTCCGTATAAATTCATATGTGGTTAGAGACGTAAACGACGAATACCGGTATTCACTTTGGCGGCATCTTTGATGGACAGAATATATTGACTGTCTGTCTCAATCAGATTTCAAGCCTGATAAGTAGAAGTACCAAACCGAAAAAGCACCAGACAGCCATTACGTCCACTTGTGACTTCTCTGGGGTACACATTCCCTGGGTCCCCTGCAGGAAAACACCGAACCCATGACTTGCACCACTAGCCAACAGCTCATGCCGCTGAGCTGCTGGCTTGCCGAACAACCTCTTCGTTGTCTCAGCTGGTTGGTTCGGGATCAACCTGTTCCAGCCAATGGTTCCGCGGCAGTGTTTCAGGACGTTCCCCCTTATAAAAAGCCACGTGTCTGTCCAACAACGTTGCGACCAGGGGGATGTGACTCGTTGATAAATAAAGTCACCGTTCCTTTGCTTCACTCCGGTGGAACATTGTATTCCAGCACCCTTTTACTAAATTCGTGCAGTGGGTTGGATCTTTGTTTCTTAACCGACCAAACGAAAGGCGCATACGCTGGGCAATCAATCACTGGCTGTAATCGACAAAACGCTTAGAAACCTTGAGCGTAACACACAGCCACCAGTTGTTCGAGTTCAACAATTGGACGGATCAATTATCCCCGAGATGAGCCAAAATTCAACGCCGGTGTAACTGAGGTGCTATTGAATAATAACAAAAAATCCCAAAATTGACAAACCTCAAACGGTTTCCTCAGACAAAAAAGCAATAGCAACTTCAGTAAATCCCACGGAAAACCGATCCAAAAGCGAAGCAAAGATAAGCACAAAATGCAAACAAGTGCGCGAAGGCGTAACCGAGCAGCACCGCTTCAAAGCAAGCCAATACACCAATTGATTGCCTACACGTATGGACACATGCCAAGCAGCCCAAGTCGCTTGATGTGTCAATGACTGATAGGGCAAATACACCAATAGTAAAGCTTGGAAGATCGATTGGCTTTGAAGATAGACATGTTCGAAACAACTGATTGGCGGAGTGTCTGTAATGCGCAGGATATGGTGAGGATGCCTCCGACGTCTGCGATGGGACATCGGTAACTAGCACATCAAAGGTGAAGGGTGTAAAACCGAAATGTGTGAGGCGGGTTTGAGTGACCATAGACGGTAAGCTAGAGGAGCAAGGTCGAATGGTTTATCAATGTTCAAGGGGTAGGCAAAACAAGCAGCCGGGGTTCTGGCACATTCAAAGGGAAATGGGCTGTCCATAATAAGGAGTTGAAGGGAAACAATCTGGTGTGAGTTTAAAACGACTGGACAAATTGATCTCTCTGATACACCGGTTGCCAATAGGCGCGATTCCCTGAATTCGTTCTGCTGCCTTGCGGTCGTCTATTTAGCCAAAGGCTTTTGGGGGTGTCTCCTAAATCAGCTCCATACTTCGTCCTTGGCAACCGGGTAGTATCACGCCGTCCCACCAAAACGATGAACAGTTCGGAGACATGCCCATCTGCTACTGTTTCTTCTCCTTACATCCACGCGACTCCATCACGCGCCAAGTGTTTGTTTGCCAGCAATCCTTATTATCCGTTACCCTATTCCTGTGTTCATGAGACTGTCAGCAATTCCGGTTGCGCCGAGAACCATGGAATCCAACCTACAGTTCTGCTTCCACCCCGATCCTGCTTCCGCCTGGCGTGCTTCATTATACGGTCACTAATGTAGATTGGACAGCAAACCGGTTTAGTACGCACCATAGAGTCCCACGATCTTGAAGTCTGCAGCTTTTCTGAAACCTGATTGCAAGATCCCATCACTGTGCTTGGGCTTACAAACACCAATAACCACGAAGCCAGATAGCACCTGCGTCTTCCTGGGGATTCAGAAGCAGCGTCAACGGGGTTATCTGGTGTAAGTATAGTATTAAGTGGCAAGGCCGACGCGGCACTACTGGACTGGTTCCAAATTAACAGCAGATTATTTGCAGTTCGGCTTTGTTGTTCGTGTAGAAGTAACAAGCCTTTCAAGGAGAGACATAACCTTTTGTGATCAACGAGTATGATTCGAATGACTGCAGTAATGGCTCGGTCAAGGACTACTTTATCGGGCGCTTCATCAATTATTGATTAGCGCTAAAAGTCGGATGTCGCTGTCCTTGCTGTGGAGTTCAGTGCACAGGTTGGTCGCCTGTTACCATACGAACGCCACCTTGGTGGTCACCACGCGTTCGAAGAGGACCGCTCAGATGCCGGAGTGAGATTACTCACATTGTGCCAAGAAAACCTTCTGGTTCTATCGAGCACCAACTTCACGTGGCGTCCCCATTCGCCAACACAATCGTGGTCTCGAATTGATCACACTTCAATCAGCTTTAGATGGTGTCGCAGCGTAGGGGACTACAGATACTATTGGTCAAGTTTCATGGACGTTGATCATTCACTGGTCTGGCCGAAAAACTACATGCGTGTTTGGGTCCCAAAAAATGAAGAACCGCAAGATTTAAGCAAACATACTAATTGATTCTTCGGTCCAGACAAGCTATCAGCCTTCACTGGTACACGCACTCAGTTGCAATCCACCGCAAGACATAGAGCAGAACTGGACTTGTATACAGAAGTTGACGGCCATTTCCGGGCGGTCAAACTGCGGCCCAACTTCACCCCCCTTAAAGGCTTGGTTCTCTGCCAGCTCTTTGGAGCTGTTTGGTCGTCGCAGAATCAGATTGCAACGAGTGGCGCCGCTCTGCCAACCGGCTGCTCAAGCAAAACCGGCGCAATGATTGCCCGGTTTGGTTGTCTGAGCATGCTTTAGAGATGAAGAACGCTGCCCTCACTGGCAACACTCGCAGGCTTTTCTAACTCATTCGGTCCACTGGCCTCAGGAAGCCTGGTGTCAGTAAGGTCATTTGTGAGGTAATTGAGTCTTCGATCATTAACCAACAGAGGCGTATGGACCGTTGGGTAGAGCACTTTCACTCGCAGTTCAACTGGCCTCCACCATCCATCGGCACATGCAGTAAACCTTGTTGTCCACCCTGGTTCGTCCCACTGAATCTACTCAGAGAAGCGGAAGTCTGCCTCGAGATTCGACGCGTGAAGCGCTTCAAGGCTGCCGGCTTAGACGGAATTCCTCCTGAGCTATTCAGATGCGGTGAGGTGGGGATCATTAACCAGTTGATCTCGTTCTTCGCAACAATCTGGCATGAAGCAAAAGTGTCATCCTCTTGGGGCGAATCAGCTATTGTCTCGATTTTCAAGAAAGGAGCCCGCACTTCATGTGTAAATCATCGCAGGATTAGTCTTATTTTGGTTGTCTTCAAGCTATTGGCATCCATTCTGCTCCGTAGACTATCATCAACAGGTGTCTCGTGCTACCGTGTAGAAGAACCTGGTTCCGATTCCGGCCGTGGGTCAAATATTCACACTCCGTCAACACCTAGAGCATCGCCACATTTATCACAGGCTCACTATCGTTGCATTCCTAGACATACCTGCTGCATTTGATTCCATTGATCGAGCTGCTTTATGGCTTTGCCTCCTGAAGAACGGGGTGCACTTTATCTTCATAGTTCCAGCAGAGATCGGGTCATCGGCAAGATTTCCTCACTCTTCGCTGTCAGTAGCAGTGTTTGACAGGACTGCCTTATATCCCTATTATTCTTCGACTGCACAATCGAGAGGTACTGTCGAAACATCTAGAAGCTTTCCAAATATTGGCCTAGAGCTTCTGCCAGGTGAACGCACGATCGACTAACATTATGCTGATGATACCGCCTTACTTGGTAACGATCCGCAAGGTACTCAACTCACTCTGGTTCGGTTGACGGTAAAAGCATCTAAGTATGACATAAGCTTCGCCTCATCGAAGTGTAAAGTGCTTCTGCACATCTGCTCCTTTGCTCACAGTTATATGTGTACAAGTTGGACAATTAGTCCCTTTCATCTACCTTGGGAGCTGGGTTTCTGCCGGCGGCACCATCAGCAGGGCAGTTTCTCTTCGCATCGCTGAAGCCCGATCAGCATTTGTCAATCTGAGGCGTCGGCATGATGTCCTATTCTCCATAAAGGATCTTGTTTACAGTGCCTATGTGCGTTCACTATGGTTATGTGGGATCGAGTCCTGGCCAATTCGCGTGGAGGACGTGCGTCGTTTTTCCACCTTGATAACAGTTATTTGAAGAGGATCCCACGTGTTTGATGGCGACATTGAGTTCACAGTGCTGACGTTCGACGTAGCATCTTGGGGAATGCGAGTACTGCCTTCAACAAACTGGTTGTGCTACGCCAGTGGAGATGGCTCGGTCACGTCCTACGCATGGCACCCGAACGTTTACCGCGCCGCGTTCTATTTGTTCGTGCAGTATGGGTATGGAGGCAACCGCATGGTGATCGGCCTTCCAAATGGCGACAGTACATGAAGTCACTGACGTCGAGTATAGCAGCCGTTGGTCCCGTACGTCTTCCTGGATGGGGACCCAATGATGAGGAGCGTCCATGGCTTAACACGCTTGAAGACATGGCCCACAACCGAAAGAATAGTGTGCAGAATTTTATTGTTTCATAAGTTTAATATCTCAAGCATTACAATTAACACAAAAAGGAACAAATCAGCGTGTGAAATGCAAACTAAAATGGTTTCATACTGTTTTGTAGCAGACTGTGCTTTCCTTGGATACTCTTACTTTTTGATATCACTGTAGCCATTTCTTGGACCGTTTAATATATATATATATATATATATATATATATATATGTATAATGAGACGATAGCTAAATCTCATGGACTGCAATCTAACTGCGATATAGCCCGACCCACATTCCACTGCCATGCAGGTTACTGCCCATGCAG